CTGTCTTTATTTCATTGTATATTCTTGCCTCCTTTGTCGAACATTAGTTGACCAAATGTTCATTTTCTAATTGGATTTTTTTAAGTGTTCAGTGTTCAGTTTCTTTAATACATCCTAGATACTAGTCTTCTATCAGTTATGTAGTTTGCAAATATTTCCTCCTAGTCTGTAGCTTGATTTTTCATCCTCTTCTTGTAAGCTTTTGCAGAGCAGCAGTTTTCAATACTGATTAAGTCCAATTTATCTAATTTCTCCTTTTATTGATTGTGCTTTTGGTGTTGAGTCTAAGAAAGAACTATTTGCCTAGACCTTGGATCATGAAAATTTTCTCCTTTTCATTTTCCTTTAGAGTTTCTTGGCTTTACATTTTATATTTAAGTATATGATACACTCACTTTGAGTTCCTTTTTGTATAAAGCATGAAGTTCTCTCTCTCCCCCCCTTTTTTTGGCCTATGGCTGTCCAATTGCTCTAGCACCAATTGTTCAAAAGGTTATCCTTCCTCCATTGAATTGCTTCTACACTTTTGTCAAAACTCAGTTGAGCATATTTGTATGTCAGTTTCTGAGTTCTTTTTTTCTGCTCCATTGATCTATGTGTTTATTATTTTACCCAAACCATTTTGTCTTGATTACTGCGTTAGTTTGCTTGGGCTGCCTGACAAACTGAATATCACAGACCCGGTAGCTTAAAACAGAAATTTATTTTCTCGCAGTTCTGGAGGCTAGAAGTCCAAGTATTGGCAGGATTGGTCTCTTCTGAGGGCTTCTTTCCTTGGCTTGTGGATGGCCATCTTCTCCCTAAATCTTCCCATGGTCTTCTCTCTGTGCCTGACTGTATCCTAATCTCTTCCTATAGGGACACTATTCATATTGGATTAGGCCCACCCACATGATTTATTTTACCTTAATTTTAGAAGTACTGTACTGGTGGCAAGATTACTATCTTACTAGGTTGTTTATGAAATTTAGTGGCTGTTATTTCCACTTCCAGCTTCAAAAATAAACACAAAACATCTCAAGTGATTAGAAAAATTTTATTCATCATCTTAAACTGGATTATATATTACAAATTCTGATCAAAATAAAAATATTAAAGGTATTTTCAGTAGTACCACAAAACTATTTGTACCTGAAGATAAAATCAAGGGTAAACTGGTAAGCATACACTGAAATTTACTCACGTTTAAAATATCACTTTGTTTAGAAAATTCACAAACATGTTTTTCTGGTTATGATGTGGGACACACAGGTAGCTACATATGACTTTCATTTATCAAACACATGAACTATTCCCCATGCTCTGAATGAGTCATCAGAAGGCTAAAAAAATCTCGTTAGTTTTTAAAATGGTACATGAGACAGTAGTTTATTGTTTTATAGAACAAAATACAGTACTTCTAATTCTCATACTGCCTTTCAACCCCACTGTGAAAGCTGCTCATAAGCACATAGCCGTTTGGCTGGCTCATAGGTTCCTACATAGTATCAGCATTGGGTTGGGTTGGGGGATGGCAAGGAAGGCATTCTGAGACAGAAGTTCTGAGAATATAGAAGCAGAGATTTCTCTTTAGAAAAATGTATACTTTAGCACAGGTCCTGTACAAAAGGTATCACTATTGAATTGGTCTGTTGACTTATAAACTATAACCAGGATTTCAGTCTGCTTTGGAGCAGCTTATTTACTTATTTGTTTGTTTGTTTATTTAATGGAGGGACTAGGGGTTGAACCCAGGACCTCGTGCATACTAAGCATATGCTCTACCACTGAGCTATCTCCTTCCCACTGGAGCAGCTTAAAATAGCATAATAGCATCACATACCCTGTCGATTCTTGCCTAGTTGAGATAGAAACACAAATCTGGGTAAAGAAGGTAGAAGTGAGTGTTTTCAATTCTCCTTTATTAATACTGACATAGGCATTCATCAGCATGGATAATTAAATGAAATCAAGTATTCCAAGTTCTCTCCCCTTCCAAATCATGGTTTATATCTGATTCTGGCTAGGCAGAGATTTACTAACAAGGAGGTGAGGGTCTGCCTCCAGGAAAAGCTAGAAAATTGAAAAAGAAGTCCAGGGCAGAGTAGGCACCAAACCTAGGGCAGCACAGAGAGTGAGCTGCTTGGGACCCAGAACTAGGTAGCATATGGCATGGCATAAGGAGACAATAGAAGATAACAACGTGACCAATAAAATGAAAATACATGTTCTATTCAGAGAAGCAGGCAACTTGGTAGTGTTTCTGAATTCATAAACCATACAATTTGTCCTTTGCCTTGTTACAATAAAACAATTTTTTCCCTAAGCAAATTCAGTCATGAATTCATTCATTCAGCAACTTACTTCTGAGTAAGATTGTGTCCTACCATAGTTTCTTTAATCCCATTTGAAGAATAATTTTAAAAAGGACTTGAAAGAAACTGAACATTTTTTGAGTACTCACCTGATCCTAGATCTGATATTAAGCACTTTAAATTTCATTTAATTCTAACCAAAAACCTTTAGAAGTAATCATTTCCCCCAAGTCACTCATGTGGAACTTGAGGCCCGGAGGGCCCCTACCACAAATTCCACACAGTGAAGCTGGGATTCCAACTCAGGCCTAATTCAAAAGTTTGCAGTCCTTTTATGTTAACATGCCACTTTCCCTAAGTAAGATGTCAGAGGTGATTAGCCTGGGTCCTAATGACAGAGAAAGAGGAGGAGGAAACAGAAACAGCCACCGCGACTTTCTTCAGAGAAATCCTTTTGAGTGGTCAGGAACTAGAGCCTCCTCCATGTTTTAAAGTGTTTACAAATGATGATTACATGTTAGAAGGTGGGAACACGGCATTTTCTCTGACAGTAGGTTTTGAGGGGAAATTTCCCCTGGGGATTTATAACACTGAAAGTGAAAGAACTGTTCATTTTCCAGAAGGTGAAACTAGGGGGAGACTTAGGAACATTTGAAGCCTGAGGCTTTGGACACTGGGTGAGGGTTCAGGCTGGACTGTGGGAATTCATTCCCACTGTGTTTCCCAGATGCAGCTCTGGTCCCCAGCCTCTAAACCCCTGCTTTCCTATCTCACATCTTGCTCTCCTGTGTGCCATTTGAAGCTTTGAAGCCTGTAAGGCTAGAAACAATGGTTTACGGTCAGAAAGAAAAAAAAAAAAAGAAGTGAGCACGATCTATTCTCAATTACTTGTATCCATAAGAGAGTATCAATAAAGAGGAAGAGAATGCACCCTTCAGAAATGGGCACTTAGCAGACGGGTCCTAATATTAAGAATATGATGGCCAAAGGCTGATGCCTCCAAACATGAACAGTTTCATGTTTTGGAGATAAGGTATTTTTCAGATAAAGGTATGACGACAGTGTAAGCATTTTGGACAAGAAAGAAATACTCCTCCTTTGTTGCCTCAGGCTCTCAATCTGAGCAGAAGATATTAAGTGGGGAAAGGCAAAAACATCCTGGAAGCTCCTCTGTCAAGCATGTCAAGCAGGGTCAAAGATGCTGTGGTGTGATCGATGAAACACTCATGTGCTAGAAGTCATGGTTCTCTTTGAGTGAGGGCCTCAACTGCTTCTTGCTCAAATCACTCCTTTCTGTTCTTTTTCATTGAGCCATAAAATAAATGTTGCAGTGAGGACCCCTTTGGCTTTTAAGATTCAAGAGCTGGATTATTTTCACTTGAGTGCTAACTTGTTTTGGGGGGAATAGTGGCAGACATTCTGCCATCTAGTGGTCATATTTCAGGGTTTGTCCCACTGCCCAGCTTCTCAGGGATAGTCAATTTGGAGAATTGAGGTTTTACTCGAGGGTCCGGAGGTCAGCAGCTGCAGCAGAGGAGAGAAGGACAGTGCTCCCTGCTTAGAGAAGGTCTGAATGGCCACCTGGCTGTCAACTGAGAAGTCGTCAATCTTGTCTCTCAGGACCTCTCTGGGAACATCCATGGGTGCCTAGCTTCCTACAAGTTAATATAAGAAGTTTTCTTCTGGCAAGCCAGGCAAACTGTACCTGGAAATGGTCATATTAGGAGAATTATTGTTGGAATAGTCAGGTGAGGAAAGAAAGGTGATCTGATGAGGTGTTGATGGTGGAGCCAAGGTCTGTGGACACCGAGCAGAGTGTAATGGTTAAGGAGCACAGGATGAAGTATAACTGAATCTGTATCAGAGCAAGCCTGGTCTTCAGAGTTTGGGAAAAGGTTTCATTCTCCCAAGGGAGGGTAGGACCCAAGATCTGAAGCCTGTGAAACCAGAAGACAGTCAAAAAGGTGTTCTTAGAGTGGTCTATGGAGGGAAGGATTTGGAACCTCTGTCAATGCGGCCAAGAAAGCTTAGATTTTTGAACACTTCAAGACCTTGGACTCCGGGGACATATAAAAAAATAATAATAATCTAAATAGGGTATGAGTAAGACCCCCTGGAAAACAGTGGGAGTCCCAGTTTGAAATGGGCAGAAACATGTAGTTTATGCACTTTTGGACACTAAGCATGAGCAAATGGTCCTCACGAAACAGGGTAGACTTTGCTCAGGAACACTATTATTATTTGTTATATTTTTTTAACCATGAAAAAAAATTAGGTTCAGCTATTTAGAATTTGGGTCTGATTCCTATGGGCTGATTTTCTAGCAAAGAGGAAGCTCATTACAATGGCCTGTCATCTGGAGACAAGTTTACTGGTAATCTATAAAGGTCCCTGAAAACGTTATGTTATTTATGAAAAGACCTAATAACTATTCACTGAAAGCTCATCCTAAGAGAGGAAGGTCACTGGTTATCATTTATCGAAAAAGTTTTGTTGTTTTTAGAATTTGGAGTGGGTTAGCTGTAGGTTGTAGGTTTTCCCAACTCTGTTCTTGGGAAAACCGTCAGCCCATTCTCTTGGACCTTCTGGTTTCCATTTCTGACATCTGCATTATCCTCTAGTTTTAGAGGGAAATCTGCCAATCTGGCCCACAAAGTAGTTCTAAGCAGCCTAGATAAAATGTAGGACTTAGCTTCCTTTCCTGGAGAAAGAAAAAGGTAGCAGTGCTTACTGTGCCTACATGTTCCTTTACCTGCCACTTAGAATACATAATTACGTGACCCTTGAAGAGATGGGGAGACACAGCCATCTCAGCCCACTCAGGGATGAGTGGAAACTGGAGGGTTTCAGAGTGGGTGGAACTTGATAAAGTAGGGATGTCTGAGTTCTTGCCTCATCAATAGTCAATAGACAGAACAACTAGGAATGGATACAAAGTTTACAAACACTATGATCTGGGGTAGGGGACAGCTGTCAGGTTTGCCATTTATCTTCACTTTGCAGTCCTGATATAGTGTTGGAAAAGGAGAGGGAACAGGTATGCTTACATACCATTTAAATTGGTTTACAGACCGTAAGTGAAAGATATGGAGCTGAAATTGATGAATGAGTAAGCTGGAGGGCACGTTTAGAAAAATTAGAGGTATTTCTATTAATATTTTAGTGTTAACATTAAAATTGGGAGTACAAGGATTATAAACTCAGAAAATAGCAAATGTCCATGAGTTGCTCATATTTTTACCTACTGATCAAGAATGAAATAAGGGAGATAAGTTTTATGAAATCACAGCCCTTTCAAAATCATGTCTGGTAGAGTGGTCTCACTTGAGTGATTTGTCAACAAGTGCTATCAGAGGTCAATGAAAATATTCTCACAGTGGCTGGAAACTTCAGCATCACACAAGCATAAGCTTTCTTTTCACTTCAGATATGAAAACAGAAGGTCTATGGAATTGTACATATCTTTGACAAGGCTAGAAACCAGCTCTCATTCTCTTATACTATGCCCTGTGCTCTGAATCAATCCCACATCAGGTTGCCCGCTGCTTGTAAAATGAATCTGCTAGCATCTTTTCTTGACGTCACCTGACATCTGTTCCCTTGAACGTTAACTCAGCCTCCACAACCTTAAAGGTAGCACCAACAAGCTTAAACGAGTTATTATTTTTTTTTACTAGCATATCCTTCCTTAGCTGCGCCTGGCAAGCCCATCTTCCAATACAAACATCTAACATTCTGAAAGCACTTACAGAACACATCATATTCTATATAAGCTCTTCAAAGGGTGAGGGTGTCTCTGTCAAAGGAAAACTGAGGTGCTTACCAAAGGGAAGAAAAAAGAGGCAGGCATCTGGATCATTCATCTCTGCTTTCCACTGTTACCTAGCATTGTACCTGATACATGGAGACTCCTTAATAAATGTAAAATGAGGGAATTAAATCAGATGGCTCAGGAGTTAGGACTCCCTCTGTGTCTTCGAACTTGTAATTTTTCTTTGGCTCCTACTCATGTTTGACAAATAGACATCCATCTTTTTAAACAGTCATCTACCTTTTTTGCAGGAGGGGAGTTCTACCATTGCAACCTACTGTCTCAGTACAACTGGATAACCTCATCCCACTCAGAAATAGGCCAGATTCCATTGGGCTGCACATTGGGGGGAGAGCGCTTCCAGTCCCATGTCTTCACAGGAATCTTCCAAGTCTTACCATAGTTGGCTTCGATGTACTCGATGGTTTCACAGGGCACATGAACCTTCATGTCTACAAACTCAGTCCAGCACAGAGTAAACTTGGGAAACAGGTATCTGTAGCAAAAAGGCAATGCAGAGAGGAGTTAGGCTTCAGCAGCAGCAGTTTTAGCTAAGGACCCCACTGCTGGTGTACTGTTGGCCGAAGGACAGTCCTCTTCCACTAAATAGCTTTGGGGATAGGTAGAGGGGACCTTTTGTTGTTTTTGATTATCCAGTGTCCCTTTCCTCTTCCCATGTTAAAGCACATGGTATCCCTTCCCTATTCCCAGCTCATAAGTTTCAGGAGGGGCCGACCTCACTCCTAGGCTCCAGGAATTGGTTAAAAAAAACACTTAGGCATAACCAGTAATTTATAGTGATTGGACCAGGGATGGGAATTTATACAAATTAGGCAAATGAAAGTCAGCCTTGGAATTTCTTTTGGAACATTGAGGGAAGAAGTGTTCTTTTTCTGAGGCTTCTAAGCTGGTAGGATGGAAGCTGAGCACTACTGGTGGGTAAGACCCTCTACATTGGATTTTGAGCAAAGGTTCACAACCCCTCCAGCCCTGTCCCTCCCCACTACCCACAAATGCAGGAATAGAGATTTAATGCTTGGGTGTCCTGCACTTCAACAATACTTCTCTTAAAGGAAACAGCTATACAAACCACCGTCTTCCAGCCCTGCCTTTTATTTTATCCCCATTTTTATGTCTCTTCTCAGCCCCACACCTACTTTTTTCTTGCTTATTTTTAATAGGTTACGCATCATTAAATCCTCATGAAATTCAAACTGCTACTAAAAGAAACTAACTAAAGAACACTAAAATAAACAGCACACATGCAAGGTGAAATCTTTTCCTTCACAGCGTGGACTGCTCAGGGAATCAGAGCACGCACGACTCCAAGCTGTACTCCCAGCCTTCCCCTTGGTTCCATCCCTCGTGTGAACCCACCTTTTTTTTTTTTGCCTTTATTTCTTTCATATCAAATGCTGAAGAATATCTCCAAGTTAGCCCAAGGAATATTAGTTAAAACGAGTTTAACTCAATTTACAGCACAATTACTTTGATTGGTAAATAAGTTTCAGAAATCATACCAAAACATGTCTCTTAAAGGTACTTTGGATCAGCAGATGAAATTCTATGCATTACAAGGGAAAGCTAACGCTAGCAGGTTTTTTAGACTTGAGTTTATATTATAGCCCTATATTCTGTGTTGCTGTTTTCTGAGAAATGGTTCTTCTCTTCACAACACAGTAAGAACTTGCAGTTATGAGATTTGAAGTGGCAATAGCAGATATCACAGAGATTTAAAATATCAGAGGATTAAAGAAAAAAGGAACAGAGAAAAACCAGATGCCAAAGTGTAATCATACTGTAGAAATGGGATCTCACTGGGATGTTCTCCAAGGAAAGGTCACTCTCATATATTTGGCTTTTGAATATCATATTTTACCACCAGATGAACATGAAGCCATAGATGAAAATGAGAGGCTGAACAAATTCTAAAGAAAGCAACAAGTCCCTTCTACCCAAACCAATGGGTGCTGGCAGTTAATAGACAATCCCAGCTGGCTTCTGTGAAAAGAAGGCCACAGCACATCTCAAAGCTGAGGAAGAAATAGGATACAGCATAGCTCCACCATCTGCTGGTCCCAATTTTACTCTGCACACTCATATTCATGGAATTGCTTATTTTGTCATCAGACATATCCATCCATCACCAGCCTTCACCCTCCCCAATCAGATGCTGGTCAGCAGAATGTCCACCTGTCCCATCCTATCAAGTTGACACACTGAAGTTGAAATGAGGCAGAAATCATGGTCTATCTCGTAACACAGGCCAAGAAACCTCTCTTAAATATTAGCCTCTGCAGTCTCATCAAAGAGGTGAAAGAAAGAAAAATCACAGGTTCAGGACAGATAGGGTGGGGGTGAGAATACTACAGATTTTATAAAGGTCTTTATAAAATGAAATGTTAAAAGCTTTCATTGAACAATGAAAGATTTATGAACAAAAACAAAACATTTAAAATATACAAACAATGTTAAAATGACTCAAAGGTAATTCAAATGTTAATTTTTGTTCCTAAATAGAAACATCCCTAAACTCTTTGTGGTTTTCTTTTCACCAAATAAATTTTCAGTCCTTTCAGCAAAAAGAAAATTCCAGCTTCCTAGGAGAAGGGGAAGATAAACAAACCATAAAATGTGAAAACTGATTGTAAAATGAGATTTGTGGAGAGGAAGTGGGGGGAAGGGGATGGGGAAGTGAATCAGAACAGCACATGCCATGTACTCTGTCCAGGTTACCAGTAAATAACGACTGAGACTAAAATACAACATGGGTCTGCAACGTTACCTTAGCTTTTAAAGCCAAGATTAAGTCCTGCTAAGCAGCTTGTACTTCAAAGCTCTGAGACAGGATCCAAAATGTGAAGAAATTTAAATTGTCTAAGCAACCCCAAATCAGAATATAAATTCAAGGGATCTTATCACATATACAGGAAGTCCTTCCACTCATTTTCTAGTTCATACGACTTTTACTTCATTTTATTTTTTACCAAAAAAAGCCAGTAGTCAGAATTATGAGTTAATTAGAGTAGACCATTTTTTCCCTCACAAACATCCTTAAAATCTGTAAAACTACTTATTGGTGGTTGGATAAAGTAATTTCATTGGTTTAATTGTACAACCTTTACACGTAATTGCTAAATGAAAACACTTTTTATTGTTAGGAGTTAGCTAGGCGAGGTGAGATAGAGACACCATCAATTAGAATTAAATCTGACCTTTTTAAACACAGTGCATTAGACTTTGGAGTTGGAACAGCAGAGCCATTTTTTTTTAAACAAGAATTTCCTGCAGAACAACACAAGTAGTTTATTCTCATTAACAATTTCATCTCTTAATTCTGAATTTCTTTTTCTTGTGTCATTCCAGTGCCTAAGCCCTCAAGCATACTGCTTAATAAAAGGAGGGACAGCACACATTTTTTTTTCTTCTGATTTTAATAGAAAGGCTCCTAAAGTTTTATCATTAAATACAATTGCTCACTAGGTTTTTGGTATATTCCTTTTATCTTTATCAGGTTAAAGAAATTTCAGATCTCTTTTATTCTAAGTTTATTGAAAGGCCTTTTGTTGTTGTTAATTATGAAATCATGTACTTTTTTCTCCCTTTAATCTTTTTAGTGTTTAATTTTTTAGTGTTGAGAATTACACTAATACATACTATAAAATTTTATTCATTTGTGTTTCACTTAGGATATTTTCATCTGTGTTCACTAAGACAGTAATTTCCCTTAAAATTTTTTTTGGTACTGTCCAAGTCCAGTTTTGCTGTCAGTAATCAAAAGAAATACTTAAAAGTAGTTTTCTCTTTTCCTTTTTTCCCCAAAATAAGTTTATAGTATAGGGAATAATCCATCCTGTGAAGGCATGGTAAAACTTTCCTGTAAACTTTCTAGGTCTTTTGGTAGGGAAAAGAAGGGGAAAGGAAGATTTCTGATTAGTAAGTCAATTTCATTAATGAGTGTAGGTTATTTAGAGCTTCCTGAGTTGATTTTGATATTTATATTATTTCCAGAAAATTTTATCCTTTTCATTTTTTATCTAATTACTACATTTAAGACTGTTGTCTTAGCATTTTGTTTTGAGTCAGTGCAACACAGTTGAGAGCATAAACCCTAAAGTCAGACATCCTAGGTCTGAGTATTGAATACTGCCCTTAATTTTACTTGTTTTGGAATCAATCTTGCTAGATGTGTTAACTAGTTTTGTAATTTATCTTTTTAAGAACCAGCATTTGGACTTGTTGATCTTTAATGTTATTTTTTTTTATTTCATTAATTTCTCCTCTTGGCTTCTTCCTTTCACTTTCCTTAGGCTGACTGTATTGTTCTTTTAATTTCTTCAGCTGGATGGCTAATTTTTTTAAATCTATTTTTTCATACTTACTGCTGTTAAGGCAACAAGTTTACCTTTATCCTTTTAACCACATCCTACAAGTTTTGATATGTAGTACATTCATTATCTTTTGAGTCTTAAAACTTTTGTAATTTCCACTATGATCTCCTTTTTAATTCATTAGTTAATAAAGAGGGCACTTTAAAGTTTCCACACATTTTAATGATGTCTTTTAACTGCTGATTTCTAATTCAGTTCCATTGTGTACATACAATGCCATTTCCTGAGATAATCACGTAGGTTTTTTTCCCTTTCATCTGTTAATGTGGAGAATTACACTCACACACACCCTCCAAAAGATTTTTATTAATGCCTTCAAATGTATTAAGATTGCCTTCATGCTGTAGTATATGATCAACTTTTATAAATGCTCCATTTATAGTGGATAAGAAAGAATATTCACCATTTGCTGGATGAAAACTTTTATACATATCAAATAAACCAAGCCTGTTAGTTGTATCCATATCTTCAATATTTTTACTAATTTATTCTTTGCTTGAACCAGCAGGTTTTAAAATAAAAGTATACCAAAATTTCCCACCATAATTGTGGACATGTCAAATATTCAGTAGAATTTCAGCAGTTTTCAATTTATATATTTCGAGGCCATATTGTTAGTCATAAAGGTCATCAATGTTATTTCTTCTTGATGGTCTGTTTCTTTGAAAAATTATGTAGTGGGCCTTTTAATCCTTTAATATTCTTCCCCCACCACCCCATAAAATTCTATTTTGTCTGATACTAAAATTATAGCAGTTTTCTTTGGTTAATAATCCTGGGGTCTATTTTTTCCATCTCTGTAATTTTCAACCTTCTTGTGTGATTCTGCCCTAGGTGTGTCTCTTCCAAGCGTTTTATAGCTAAATTTTGTTTTCTATCTCATTTTGATAATTTTTGTCTTTTTATAGGTTAGTTTAATCTGTGAATTTTTATTGTAATAAATTATGTATTTGAATATATTTTGAATGCTAGAGCCAGACTGCCTGGGCTTAAATCCTGTCTTCACCATTATCAGTTATATGACCTAGGTCAATCTCTTTGCACCTTGACATCTTCATTTATAAAATGAGGGTATTAGCAGTACACCTCAGAGAGATGTCAGCAT